AAAAAAAAAAAAAAAAATGAAACCCCTTATATAAAGTACACAACCAGGTAAAACTAATCTGTGGGATGAGAAATTATGATAGTGGTTATCTTTAGGTCATTTGTAGCAACTGGGAGGAATATAGAGAGGATCTTCTGGAGGCAGTAATGATCTGCTCTTGATCTGGGTGCTGATTACATGGATATATTGAACTGACAAACTTTCCGTATGCATGTTTACTCAAATAAAAAGCTACAGTTTATGCTGGGCACAGTAGCTCACACCTGTAATCCTAGCAGTCTTTTTTTTTTTTTTTTTTTTTTTTGAGACAGAGTCTCAGTTTACTGCCCTGGGTTGAGTGTCATGGCGTCACAACTCACAGCAACCTCCAACTCCTGGGCTTAGGCGATTCTCTTGCCTTAGCTTCCCGAGCAGCTGGGACTACAGGGGCCTGCCATAACGCCCGGCTATTTTTTGTTGCAGTTCAGCGGGGGCTGGGTTTGAATTTGCCACCCTCAGTATATGGGACCAGTGCCCTACCCACTGAGCCACAGACCCCGCCCAAGAGACACACACACTCTCTCTCTCTCTCTCTCTCTCTCTCTCTGTCTTCTCTTCTCTATTTATCATGTAGGTGTAAGGTAAACTTGTAATATGTATTAAGAAAGAGCATATTGCCATTTTAGTCAAAGATCCTCTATGCTGTATAACTACTGTTCTGATTTTGCTCTTTCTCCTCCACTTTATCATTTAATTTTATGTTTTTGAATTTAATACAATGGTATCGTGTTATTAAGTATTCTTCTGTGGTTTTCTTTTTTCACTGAACCTAATGGTTTTCACATTCGTTTATGCTTGAAAGCAATAATTCATTCATTTTCTTTTTACAAGTATGTCACATATCTTAATACAATGAGTTTAGTTTCTTTTTCTTCGTTATTCTTTTCCTTTTTTTTTTTTTTTTTTTTGAGACAGTCTCACTTTGTCGCCCTTGGTAGAGTGGCCTGGCGTCATAGCTCATAGCAACCTCAAACCCTGGGGCTTAGCTTGGCGCCTGTGGCTCAAGTGGCCAGCCACATACACCTAAGGTAGCGGGTTCGAATCCAGCCGCCAAACAATGACGGCTGCAACCAAAAAATAGCCGGGTGTTGTGGCAAACGCCTGTGGTCCCAGCTACTTGGGAGGCTGAGGCAGGAGACTCGCTTGAGCCCAGGAGTTGGCGGTTGCTGTGAGCTGTGATGCCACAGCCTCTACCAGGGGGACAGCTTGAGGCTCTGTCTCAAAACAAAACAAAACAAAACCCTTGGGCTCAAGCTATTCTCTTGTCTCAGACTCCCAAGTAGCTGGGACTACAGGCGCCCACCTCAAGGCCTGGCTATTTTTAGCGATGGGATCTGACTCTGCATCAGACTAGTCTCCAACCTGTGAGCTCAGGCAATCCACCTGCCTTGGCCTCCCAGAGTGCTGGGATTACAGGAGTGAGCCACAGCATCCAGCCACACCATGTTCATTTTCTTTTTTTTTTTTTAACCACTCATTTACATATTTTTATTTGGAAATGTTTATATCAGTACAGTGAAACTAAATGTTTGACATGAGATGTCAACAGTTTAGATATCATCAGTTTATTATAAAAGAGACATGGAAATTATTTACATGATGCAAGATTTCAGAACTTCAGTGGAATGGGCAGCTTCATGTCAATGCCATTTCAATAGTGATTTATTTCAGTCTACATACTTTCCAAGAATGTCACCATCTCTAAATAAGAAATAATCCTTGTCATCTATAACTACTTTAGTGCCTCCATATTCTGGGAGAAGAACTTTATCCCCACCTTTCACACTAACTGGTTGAATCTCTCCACCCTTTCCTTTAGAGCCTGACCCAACAGCCACTACTATTGCTTGCAATACTTTTCCTTGAGATTTTTCTGGAAGCATAATGCCTCCTTTGGTTACAGTTTCGGCTGCACACCTTTCCACCAATACTCGATCGAAGAGTGGAAGAAACTTTCTAAATGCTTGTCCTGCCATGGTTCCCACCTACGTAGCCACCACTCTACTCTCGCCGCGCCGCTGCAAGCACCATGTTCATTTTCTATCAAGCCTTCGAACGTCTTGCTTTTCACAACTCTTTTTTTATAACTCTTTATAAAATCCTGCATTTCTTGTATTAGATATATTCCTACACACCTTATCTTTTTTTTTTTTTTTTTTTTTAGACAGAGGCTCAAGCTTTCGCCCTGGGTAGAGTGCTTTGGCATCACAGCTCACAGCAACCTCCAACTCCTGGGTTTAAGCGATTCTCTTGCCTCAGCCTCCCAAGTAGCTGGGAATACAAGCGTCCGCCTCAACGCCCGTCTATTTTTTGGTTGCAGCCATCATTGTTGTTTGGTGGATCCAAGCTGCATTCGAACCCGCCAACTCTGGTGGATGTGGCCGGAGCCTTAGCCGCTTGAGTCACAGGCACCGAGTCACCTTATCGTTTTTGCTGCTTTTGTCAAGTGCTCCTAATCTGACCCCTTGTTTCCACTGTCGCTCGAGAGTGTGCCGATATCAAGGGACAGAAAAAATATATTGAACCATGCCTGATAATTTTCTCTCTGCGGGCCAAACGCCTCCGACTAATTTCGGGCCATTACTGTACCCGTAGGCACAACTGCGTAAACAGCCTTCTCAAGAAGTTCTGAAAAAAATCTCTAGACTCGCCCCGAGGCGTAGCCGGTACGTGCTGACGTCAATGGCACGCCACCCCTCAGAGACCCGGGAGGGCGGGGCCAGCGGGGGCATCTGCTGCTGAAAGAGCCCCGGCCCGAGCCGGGGCCATGGCGAAGCTGCTAAGCTGCGTCCTAGGCCCCCGGCTGTACAAGATCTACCGGGAGAGGGACTCTGAAAGGGTCCCGTCCGGCCTCCCTGAGACTCCAACCTCAGTCACTAACCCCCCTTCCAGCTCCTGGGTGAGTCGAGTTTCCCCCGATCAGGAACATGGTACAGTCGACGGCCTTTGCTCCCCAGAAGTGCCCAATATTGGAATTGAGAGGAACCTGCTTGTCAAGGCAGTTGTCCGCAAAGTCTCCTGTCTTTGTGCTTCCTGGGGTAAAGTCACGCCTGTGGACGGCCGCCTTCTTTCTTTATCGCTGTTTGAGCATCGCTTTCTCATTCTGAATACCACTCCTTGTCTTTTCCTCTCCGCATCCCCCCTCTCCGTCGTGGTTCCTGCCGGTCCCAATTGAGTCTTAAGTCCTGGAAGAGACCTGCGCGGGTTGGGGAACTGGCAGGTTTTGCCGACAAACTCCCAGTTTCTTCCTCAGTGTCTGGCTTGCTCTGTTGTTTTTTAATCTTCCATTTACCCTGGCTTTGAATTTCAAAATGACTTCTGATCATGTTTGGCTCTCCCCTCAGCCGCGCTCCCAAAGTAGCCAGGAGACCACAGGGTCCTTCTATTCGTGAAAGCCTGGGGTTGTGGTAGGCTATGCCCCTAAATATTCTATTTCTTTTTATCGGTAGTCTCAAATTCTGTTTACTATCCCCTGGAAACTGCCCACTCCTAGTCACAGTCTCTTTTCCTTAGTCAACCAACTGTTCTTATTTCTCATGTCTTCTTTCCCTTTAGCGTTGTCATGGTGTCTTTCCTTTCTTTTCTAACTCTTTTCCCCATATGCACCCTTCCACAGTCGATTTGAAACTGGATTGTGGAAAAGGAGCAAAAACTGTCCAATGTTACTTTCACTTTTGCTTTCAAATCCAGATCCCTGTATTTGTTTTTATGGTCAGGTGGGAAATTATTTTCAGAGTGAAGATGGGGAAACATTTCTGTGGGGGTTAGAAATGTTTCAAGGGGCTCGGCGCCTATAGCTCAACCGGCTAAGGCGCCAGCCACGTACACCTAAGGTGGCGGGTTCGAATCCCCAGCCCGGACCCGCCAAACAACAATGACGGCTGCAACCAAAAAATAGCCGGGCGTTGTGGCGGGCACCTGTGGTCCCAGCTACTTGGGAGGCGGAGGCGGGAGACTCGCTTGAGCCCAGGAGTTGGAGGTTGCTGTGAGCTGTAATGCCACGGCACTCTACCCAGGGGTAGCTTGAGGCTCTGTCTCAAAAAAAAGAAATGTTTCAAGGGAGATAACTAAGGAGACTAGAACCCTTTCAGGTTCTGAAAGGGAAGGGGGTGGGGACCCTGTCACTGGGCAGGATTCTTAATCAGACCATCTGTTTTGGCAGGATACTTATTATCAGCCCCGTGCCCTGGAGAAACATGCCGACAGCATCCTGGCATTGGTATGTCTACCCTGGCATCTGAGACTCACTGTATCTTTTCAGTTTCAGACCCAGCTTCCCTCTCGAACTTATTCCTCCCTACCCCAGGAGCAGGCAGTGCCCCGGGGGCTGGGGGATGCTCTGGGTTCTGCAGCAGTCCTCTCCAATACACACACACACACAAGCCTTCAAGCCTGCATACCTGGCACTCCCCTTTGTTATGTAGCACTATGCCGCTTTCTCTGGGGCAGCCTTAGCCATGAAGAAAACATGTTTACTCTTGGGAGCATCTGCAGGTACTAAGTCCTACAGTCTCTAGTGACCTGTCCTCCTTGCAACTAACCTCTTTGGCTGCAGAGACAGCTGTTCTCTCTGGCAGGGTTCCTATGGTGATATTTGCACATCTCTTGGGGACCAGGCCAGGGTCTGTCTGAGCAGGGCCAATTGAAAAGGCTTGATTAATTTGAATAGACAGAGAGATGACTAGTCTTTAAATGTGATAGAATCATGTTTGGAGATGGTTAGATGAAGAAAATACAACCTGTACCTCGTTTTCCTAGCCTCTGTTTTACTCTGACACATTACCTTTCAACAAATATCCAGTACCTACTATGTGTGTGATGTCACAGAATAGATACTCAGTATGATACCCCTCAGGTTATCCACCTTGCTCAGAGCCTGGGCCTGGAAATGGCAGAGCAATGTGCATGTATGCGTATTGATTGGCTGTCCCTGTCTCTCTGCTGCAGGCTTCAGTCTTCTGGTCCATCTCTTATTACTCCTCTCCCTTCGCCTTCTTCTACTTGTACAGGAAAGGTCAGTGTGGTTTCAAAGATGGTGGGGCAGGAAGTGGGAAGGTTGTTGGCAGATAAGCCAGCTCCCTAAAGAGGAAAAGGGACCTGTGAAGATGGCTTGGCTTCCCTCTTCCATCAGGAATCCTCTTCCTTTAGGGTGTGGCTATTCCAAAGAGAGGGTGTGGGGTGGAGATCTGGGCTGAACTGGGAAGAAGAGCTAAGGGGCACCACAGAGAGCATCTCACATCATCCCTCTCCCCTCCCAGGTTACTTGAGTTTGTCCAAAGTGGTGCCATTTTCTCATTATGCTGGGACATTGCTGCTTCTACTGGCAGGTGTGGCCTGCCTCCGAGGTAGGTGGAGAGGGAGGGAGCCTGGTTTGCATCTATCCATCACTATTATTGAGTAAATATTAAGTACCTTCTGCAAATATAATTTGGTGCTAGGCCCTGAAGGGGAATAACTAAAAATGGTAAATTATGATCTTTTCCTCAAAAGGCTTGGATTATAAATATGAAAAAATACTGTAATTAAAGGAAGAGTTTGCTATTATTTAGAAAAGATGCATATATCATACAATAATTTCTCTCATATATGTATGTTTTTATATATACACACTCTAGAGAAACTCTGGCACACATAAATACTATATATGTATGAGAATATAGCATACAATATTATAATAATCCTAAACTAGAAACAACTCCAGTGGCCACACAATGTTTTGGATGGATAAATACATTATGTGTTATAGTCATACAACAAAATACTATACAGCAGTGCAAATGAACAAATTATAATTACACTTACCAATGCAGATGAATCTCACAAATAAAGTGTTAAACAGAAGAAGTATAATTCCTGCAGTTTGTTTCACTTATATAAAGTTCAAAAGGGATGTATATCTATGAGGTAAATGGTAAAGAAAACAGGGACATGTTTATCTTAAAAGTCAGAGAATGAAGACCTGGGGTAGGGTTGTATCGCATATAGCATGGGGGAGAATATATAGTGGGAATTGGTTTGTTCTCTTTCTTGACCTAGGTGTTAGTCACATGAAGGTCTGCTTTGTATTTTTTAAACTGAATGTGTATTTTATGTACATATGTTATATCTCACAATTGTTTTTATTAGGGAAAACAAATCATTGACCCCTGGTGGGTGCATATGGTGACCAGGGGATGGAGATCCTTAGAGAAAGGGATGGTAGGGTTGGGGCTGGATGATGGCTGGATGTTGACAGTCAGGTGAGGACCTCCTGCTGAAGTGTTCTGTTCCTAGTTCTCTGGGGGATGGTTACCCTCCTCAGAGAGGCCTTTCCTGATCACCCCATCTAAAAGAAGCTTCCACTACTCAGTTTTGTCTTAATTTTTTACTTTATTTATAATTTAGGAAAAACCCCACAGAAGTACAGAGAATAAAATATCAAAAAGAACTAAAAGGCTTATGTTTTATGATATTTGCTTCAATATTTTTTGTCATTAAATACTAAAGAACTGGGGGCCTGTGACTCAGTGACTAGGGCATCTGCCCCATATACCAAGGGTAAGCCAGGCGCCTGTGGCTCAGTGACTAGGGCATCTGCCCCATATACCAAAGGTGGCAGGTTCGAACCCAGCCCTGGCCAAACTGCAACAAGAAAATACCTGGGGGCGGCGCCTGTGGCTCAGTGAGTAGGGCGCCGGCCCCATATACTGAGGGTGGTGAGTTCAAACCCAGCCAGCCAAACTGCAACAAGAAAATAGCTGGGGGTTGTGGTGGGCGCCAGTGGTCCCAGCTACTTGGGAGGCTGGGCAAAAGAATCGCTTGGGCCCAGGAGTTGGAGGTTGCTGTGATCTGTGACCCCACGACACTCTATCAAGGGCAATAAAGTGCAGGCGACACCACTTGCTCAAGGAGTAGGGCCCTAGCCCCATATGCCGGAGGTGGTTGGTTCAAACACAGCCCTGGCCAAAAAACTGCAACAAAAGGTGGTGGGGGGGCAATAAAGTGAGACACTGTCTCTTTAAAAAAAAAAAGCCTTTCCTCCCCCATTAAAAAAAAAAAATAGCTGGCCATTGTGGCAGGCACCTGTAGTTCCAGCTACTCAGGAGGCTGAAGCAAGAGAATCGCCTAAGCCCAAGAGCTGGAGGTTGCTGTGAGCTATGACTCCAGGGCACTCTACCGAGGGCAACAAAGTGAGACTCTGTCTCTAAAAAAAAAAAATTACAGATAGAGTCAGAGTTCCCACCGGAATCCTCCCAGTCCCATCTTCCTTTTTCCCCTGAAGTAATTACTGTCATCTGGTATGGTTTTTTTCTGGTCCATATTTTTCAACTTTTATGCAATATATATAGCTCATTTCAACAAATCTAAGCTGCCATCAATTATAAAATGCAGGCTAATTTCAGAGTTTTCAAGTGTTTAAAAAATATGCATCTTAGAATCTGTAGAATATGGTTAAGTATCGATAAATAATATATAGTATTATTTTGTACATCTTACATTTTTGGCATAAATAGGATTGCTCCATACAAATCATTCTGCAGCTTGCTTCATTCCCTCATTATCATATTGTTTTGGAGGACTGCCCTTGAGACATAGAGTTCTAGTTCATTCTGGTTTTATTTCTTTTGTAGCACTTTATTCCTCTCTGAAATTTTCTTGTTTACTTGTTTATTGTCTTTTCCCAGCCCCACCTCACCCCCAACCAAAGTGTCAGCTCTCTGATGGCCAGGAGCTGGGTATTTCGTTTTCTGCTGGGTCTCCCATGTGTAGGATAATGTCTGGGACATGAGATCAGCCAGCTCAATGTCAGGAGAAATTAGAGTTTGAGCAGTGATGGGACAGTGGATACAGTCACCAAGGGGACAAGTGAAAAGAGAAAAGAGTCATCCTTGAGAATTGCTTCTGTTTCAGAGAAGCAAGAAGAAAGGCAGGAAAGGAGCAGTTCAGGAATTGGAAGGAGGATAGGCCCATGAAGCAGAGGAAGAAGAATCTCAGGGGACAGGAAGAGTGGTACAGTTGAAGAGAATGAGGATGAGACCAGGTACAGTGGCTCATACCTGTAATCGTAGCACTCTGGGAAGCCAAGGTGGGTGGATCCCTTGAGCGCAGGAGGTTGAGACCAGCTTGAGCAAGAGTGAGACCCCATCTCTAATAAAAATAGAAAAACTGGGTGGCACCTGTGGCTCAAAGGAGTAGGGCGCTGGCCCCATATGCCAGAGGTGGTGGGTTCAAACCCAACCCCGGCCAAAAAAACCAAAATAAAACTGCAAATAAATAAAAATAGAAAAACTCACCAGGAGTTGTGGCATAGGCCTTTAGTCCCAGCTACTTGGGAGGCTGAGGCAAGAGGATTGCTTAAGCCCAAGAGTTTAGGTTGCTGTGAGCTGTGACAGACTCTGTCTCAAAAAAAAAAAAAAAGAATGAGGAAGGGTCGTTGGATTCATTGAGGGACTATGAAACCAGATGGCAGGGGGTTAATAAGGAATAGACAGAAAAGAGAAAGCAAGTATTGGAGAAGAGTGGCAGTGAGAAGCAGGGAAATCCGGTGTTCACAAGGGGAAACAGTAAGGTTGTGTAACAACGTTTGAAGACCCAGGAGAATGGAAGAAGGGAGGTTGGTGGTCTATAAAGAAACAAACTGAAGAAGCTAGGGAGGGAAATTTTATAGCCAGTTGCTCAATGTGGAATAAGGAGGTTGGCTCAAGTCTATTTCCCCACATCCTCAGGTCTTTTTGGTTTTTTTTTCCTCATTTTTCCTTCTAGGGCCTTCTGCTAACCCATCTCCAATTCTTTTCCTAAAACCTACGCATCCTTGACTTGGCACTTGTACCTCAGTAGTTAGGGTGCCAACCACATACACTGGGGCTGGCGGGTTCGAAGCTGGCCCAGGCCTGCTAAAACAACAATGACAATAACAGCAACAAAAATAGCTGGGTGTTGTGGTGGGTGCCTGTAGTCCCAGCTACTTGGGATGCTAAGGCCAGAGAATCACTTAAGCACAAGACTTTGAGGTTGCTGTGAGCTGTGGTGCCACAGCACCCTACTGAGGGTGACATAGTGAGACTCTGTCTCAAAAAAAAAAAAGCTTGGTTTTTTTTTAGCATGGTGGTTACTGCGTTGGCCACAAGCACTGAGGGTGGCGAGTTCGAACCAGGCCCGGGCCAGCTGAACAATTGCAACAACAACAAAAACCCCTATGTACCCGCTTCCCAGTTTTCCTAATGCTATATCCTCCCTCTGCAGGTATTGGCCGCTGGACCAACCCCCAGTACCGGCAATTTATCACAATCTTAGAAGCGACACATCGGAACCAGTCTTCAGAAAACAAGGTGAGAGGTTCTAGGGAAGATACCAGACAGGCACCCTCCTAGCAGCTTCCTCAGCACTTCCCCTACCCACCCAAGAGAACCAGGTCCTGGGCTTCTGCCTGGAGAAGGAGGAGGTATTTACTTGCATTGCTATATCTCTCTCCCTTCCATAAGGGAACTGTCCATCCAAGATGTTTTTCCTGCCTTCCACTTCAAATGGAATATTCTGCTAGAATAATCCTCCCCACCCTGACCCTCCACTCACAAGTATTGGCCAAATGTAGAAACATTCCATGGTGTTTCTTAGAAGGGAGTTTTTTTCTCTGTCACAGCAGCTCAGTTCTGTAAATGTTTGTTTATTTTTGTTGTGTTTTTTAAAATTATTTTTATTAAATCATAATTTTGTACATTGATGCATTTATGGGGTTCAGGATACTGCTTTGATATGTAATGTGAAATGCTTACATTGAACTGAGTAATACATCCATCACAATTATACTCATTTCGTAATTGTTTTGAAATGTACCATTGCATCATGCACATTAGGTGAGGTCCCCCCAAATACCCTCCCTCCTCCCATATCCCTCTTCCACTCCCCCCCTTCCCTTCTACTCTCTGGACTATAGTTATGTTTTGCCATTCGTATGAGTGTGTAGGTGGTTGTATATTGATGTCATAGTAGTATTGAGCACATTGGATTTGTTGTGTTTTTTGAACACCATGCTAGGTTTGTTTGCGATCAGGCAAAATGGTCAGATATGTCTACTCCTGGGCCCAGAGCACAGTATGGTGCCAGGAGTGAGAAAAGCCAAGGCTCCGTGTCCTGGGATTGTACCAGGCAGCTGGTACTAGAGTGTGAGGTTTGAGGCAACCCCTAAAGCGCTTTTCTGTTATGAGGGGGTTGGGATCAAACAACTATGGTCACCATTGTCATCACAGTACTGGTTATTTCCATACCACAATTTATGGAGCTATGTAATGATGCTATCTGGGGCATTTTGCATGTGCCCTTTCTATTTTTTTTTTTTTTTTTTTGAGACAGAGTCTCACTGTGTCGCCCTTGGTAAAGTGTCATGGTGTCACAGTTCACAGCCACCTCAAACTCTTAGGCTCAAGTGATTCTCTTGCCTCAGCCTCCCAAGTAGCTGGGATTACAGGCACCTGCCACAATTCCTGGCTATTTTTTTCTTGTAGTTGTCATTGTTGCTTTTAGCAGTCCTGGGCTGGGTGTGAACCCACCAGCCCCGGTGTATGTGGCTTCTCCCTAACCACTGAGCTATAGGCGCCGAGCCATATATGCCCTTTCTAATCCTCACAACAGTCCCAGGAGATGGCATTATTCCCCTCATTTATACATCTGAGGAAACAGAGGCAAAAAGAGCGTCAGTGACCCATGTGGAGTCACAGAGCAAGGAAGTGACTGAGTCTGAATTTGAGTGTAGGTCTGAGCAAAACCTGCCTGATATTTGCCTTTTTTCCTTTTGTTTTATTTTGCCATTTACTTTTTTGTATAACTTTCCTATTGCTCTTTCTTAGTCAAGTTGTTTTTGAAATGTCAAAAAATGTCTGTAACAGAAAATAAAAAACAATTCTCAAAATAGACTACTAGGAGCTCTAGGGTTAGGTGAAAGAACATTAAGTATTCTGAGCATTAAGAAATAGCTCCCACTGCCCTCAAAAAGCATGTGGACTGACTCAATGGGATATCCAGAGGCACAGATAGTCTATAGGGCAATGCTGGCCCATGGCTGCAGGAGTTGAGGGAAGGGTGGTGGTTGTAAGGATGGAACTGTCACAGTGTCAATCAAGAGGTGGTCTCAGGTGCAAAGGAACCCACTGTGGATGTGACTTCCCTCTTCTCTCTCACTCAACCTTGCAACTGACAGTTTGATCTGCTGTAAGATTTCTAGCCTCTAAGACAGCACCATGTAAAGGTGGAGAACAAAGCATGACCAGCCTCTACCTCCTTATTCAGTAGCAAAAGCACCTCCACCCCTCCTGGGGGTGGGTAAGTCTTAGGTTTTTGGAAGAGCAGAGTGTTAGGGTTCCTAGCTTGGATGAGGGCAGGCAGGTCCTGACTGATGGGGCACACTGTCTTGCCCAGCTTCTTGGTCATGTTAGAGCTTCGAACCAGGAGGTTGTTGACTTCTGCTTAGTCTCCCCATGATGTGTCAGGGCAGGTCCCTGGGTAACAAGAGTGTTGAGGGTAGAGGGGACCGCAGTTCTCAATTCCCCTTTGCCTCCCTTCCTCTTTCGTTCCCTGCCCACCTCAGAGGCAGCTCGCCAACTACAACTTTGACTTCAGGAGCTGGCCGGTTGACTTCCACTGGGAGGAGCCCAGCAGTCGGTGAGGCCCCAGTTCTTTTGCTCTGTCCCTTCCCCTGGAACTGCCTTAGGTAATCCCTGTCCCCCTGCCTCCATCCCCTCTCAGGTCCCCATACCTGCCTCTAACACATTCCTTATTCCTTAGACATTCAGCTCACTGCACCTGACCCCATGCTCCTGTGTCTTTCCCTTCCTCAGGAAGGAGTCCCGAGGGGGCCCTTCCCGTCGGGGTGTGGCCCTGCTTCGCCCAGAGCCCTTGCACCGGGGAACAGCGGACACCCTCCTCAACCGGGTTAAGAAGCTGCCTTGTCAGATCACCAGGTGGGACGGAAGGGACATGGCTGAGGGCTCTGGGACTGGGCATTCCATTGTAAAATGGCTATCATTTAGTGGGGCTAATGCTTATGCTTTGTGTGTGTCATTTGTGGTGAAGTAGTTCTTGTCCATATTTATATGTGAAGAAAAGTGGCTCAGAGAGGTCCAGAGTCTCATAGGCAGTAAATGAAGAACTGGGAGTTGAGGCCAAGTGTGTTGGCTCACACCTGTAATCCTAGTTCTCTGGGAGGCTGAGGCAGGTGGATCATTTGAGCTCAGGAGTTTGAGACAAGCCTGAGCAAGAGCAAGACCCATCTCTTCTAAAAAGAAAAACTAGCTGGGTGTTATAGTGCATACCTATGGTTCCAGGTACTTAGGAGGCTGAGGGAAGAGGATCACTTGAGCCCAAGTGTTTGAGGTTGCTGTGAGCTATGATGCAATGGCGCTCTACTCAGGGTGACAGAATGAGACTCAGTCTCAAAAAAAGAAAAAAAAAGAGGGGGTGGCGCCTGTGCTTAGTGAGTAGGGTACCAGCCCCATATATGGAGGGTGGCAGGTTCAAATCCAGCCCCGGCCAAACTGCAACAACAGCAACAAAAAAAATAGCCTGGTGTTGTGGCGGGCACCTATAGTCCCAGCTACTCAGGAAGCTGAAGGAAGAGAATTGCCTTAGCCCAAGAGCTGGAGGTTACTGTGAGCTGTGACTCCACGGCACTCTACCAAGGGTGACAAAATGAGACTCTGTCTCTTAAAAAAAAAAAAAAAAAAGAAAGGTCTGCCTGACACAAAAGCTCCTTCAGTGAGGCTGAGAGGGAGCAGTGGGATTGGGGTGGGGTTGGAGAAGAACCAAAGACCTGTAGCTGGAGCAGGCTCTAGTGACCACGGTGGACCCATCCTGGCTCTTCTTCCCTGTGGTTATTCTGCTTTGGCTCGTTGGCCCCTCTGTGCCTCAGTTCTGTGTCTGTGATTAACTTGCCTTATAGAGTTCTTGAGGAGATTAACTAGGGCTCCTTTCTTTGCATGGGTGCCTGAGCGCACATGGTAAAACCCAAATAAAGCTTAGTCGTGGGTATTACTGATGTCAGAAGTAACGACAATACCATTTATATCTTACAATGGAGCAGACTGTGGGAATTTTCTATTTCTGGGAGTAAGGAGACAAGTTCTAGAATACCAGGGATGGGGGTAGACTGAGTAGTTGGCTGTTGACAGTGTGCTGGTTGGTAGGGGAACAGGCCACATCTGAGGTTTTGAAGGGGACGCTGGATGGTGTTGTACAGTGCTGTTCTGGGGAAAAAAATCCCACTTCAGGATTAACTGGAAGTGGTTAATTGTCTGTTTTAGGAAGAGCACCTACCACATCTTTTTTTTTTTTTGAGACAACCTTGGTCAACTTGGTAGAGTGCTCTGGGGCATCTTAGCTCACAGCAACCTCAAACTCTTGGGTTCAAGCGATTCTTTTGCCTCAGCCTCCCAGGTAGCTGAGACTACAGGTGCCTGCCACAGCACCCAGCTATTTTTTAGAGATGGGGTCTCACTCTTGCTCAGGTTGGTCTCAAACTCATGAGCTCAGGCAATCCATGCACCCTAGCCTCCCAATTGCTGGGATTACAGGTACGAACCACCATGCCTGGCCTCCTATCACATCTTATCTGTTTAGTTAGAACATTCATTCAATATTTTTTTAGGGTGGTGTCTGTGGCTCAGTGAGTAGGACGGTGGCCGCATATACCAAGGGTGGCTAATTTGAACCTGACCCTGGCCAAACTGCAACAAAAAATAGCCAGGTGTTGTGGCAGGTGCCTGTAGTCACAGCTACTTGGGAGGCTGAGGCAAGAGAATCACCTAAGCCCAAGAGCTGGAGGTTGCTGTGACTCCACAGCACTCTACTGAGGGCGACAAAGTAAGACACTGTCTCTAAAAAATAATAATAAAATAAAAATAAAAATAAATATTTTTTGGGTGGCGCCTGTGGCTCAAAGGAGTAGGGCGCCAGTCCCATATACCAGCAGTGGGGGTTCAAACCCAACCCTGGCCAAAAACTGCAAAAAAAAAAAGAAATTTTTTTTAATTTACTTTTTCCTTACATAAATGTAAGAGGTACCTGTGAGAATTTGTTATATGCATATAATGCATTGTGATCAAATCAAGATGTTTAGGGTGTGGGCGGCTCCTGGGGCTCATTGAGTAGGGCGCTGGCCCCATATACGAATGGTGGTGGGTTTGAACCCCACCTGGCCAACCTGCAACAAAAAATTGTGGCAGGTGCCTGTAGTCCCAGCTACTCAGGAGGC